TTCATAGAGAATTAACTTGAAAATACATTTTTTCATTGAAAACGATAGAAAATATTCATGAAATGAATGAATCCAAAGTACCTACATATCAAGTATCAAAGCAATCATTATCTGAATATTAGTTTTCAAGAAAAAGTGAAATATATATTATTTTATTAAAAATGACAGAAATTTTTTTCCAAAAACAGAGAACTAATAATATTGTCATGAAATGAACCAATCTGATAGAGGTCCAAGCAAAGTACCAACTTGGCTATTAGTTTTCAAGAAAAAGTGAAAAATATATTTTTTATTAAAAATGGCAGAAACAATTTGCTAAAAACAGAGAACTAATAATATTGTCATGAAATGAACCAATCTGATAGAGGTCCACGCAAAGTATCTACTTGGCTCTTAGTTTTCAAGAAAAACTGCTTGCATAGAAGTGCAATATACGGGTATGTGCCACCCAGCTGGGGTGTCATTTCGTGTTATTTTGTTTAGAAGTGGGTAGTCATTTATCAATGGTTTGGTTTAGAAGTGTGTATCATTTATTTACTTTTCCACAGGTCCTTATATTCAAAGACAAATACTGGAAAGGCTGAATAAAATGCATTGCCGGATGCGCTCACTGGTTGCGAAAGTGAGCTGGGTGTTTTTTTTCTCGCTGAAAACACTTGTGTTTAGAAGTGGGTATATAAATAGAACAAGCCATGCATGGCACAGTCCCCATTAGTTATCAAATTTAAGATATATAGTTTTGTTTATAGTAATATAGCTGGGATATAACCATGTCAGGAATATCATTTTTTAACATTAAAATTGACATTTGTATCTGATCGTCAAACAAGTACTTGTCCATATTGAGAGATATTGCTCTGGAACAGCATTCAAAATCAGCTATTTTGAATACATGTATATATATAACATGATGTATAACGAATATATAAAATTTGAATATAGTCAGTCAAAGCATTTGAGATATGGCTCTAGAACCCCAATCATTAAAGCAAAATGGCTGTCAGTCAGCCATTTTGAATCCAATCTGACATCATGTATAATCATGAATATTTAAAATTTGAATATAATCAGTGAAAGCAAGTCAGAGACATGGCAGGAGAGCCACATTCATTAAAACAAAAATGGCCACCAATTGGCCATTTTGAATCTTATCTGAAAAACAAAATTAGTTGCATCAAGGTCACATAACGTATAATGTATACACCAAGTTTGAACAAAATCCATCTGTAAAGAGTCGAGAAATGCTTGATTTTTAGGATTTTTTAGCACAAAAATGGCCACAGGTCCGGACGCACACACACACGCACATACGCACACACGGACACACAGAGGTCAAAACATAAGTCCCCATTTTCGGACTGCGTCCGAACAGGGACTAAAAAACAATGGTTTAGAAGTGAGTATGGTTTTCGAGAGGTGGGCTTCACACCATTACCCACTTAATGTGGAAGTAGCCCCTCGGGTAATAATATTGTCATGAAATGAACCAATCTGATAGAGATCCAAGCAAAGTACCAACTTGGCTATTAGTTTTCAAGAAAAAGTGATTGGGGTATTGACTAAAAATAGAGAATTAATGATATTGTCTCAAAATGAACAAATTTGACAGGAATCCAGCCAAAGTACCTGCATATCAAATATCTTGGGTTACCTGTATTATTTTTTAAATAAGGTAACCAAATATACTATAGACACTTTTTGCCATTTGTTAATTTTTTTATTCATAATGCTTCTGTGAAAAATCTTGTAGTAAGCCAAGAGTTCAAAGGTTATACATACCTCCATCTTGGTCCTTGACTTTCACAACTGGCTGTGCTTGTATATATTCATGGACATGCTCTTTAACCCACATGATAAGGTCCATTATCATGTGTTCATTAACTAGCTTATTTGCATAGATCAGCAAATCTCGCCTCATTTGACCTGACATCTGTCGCTTAAGTTTGACACAAGATATAGATACATTAGGTGTAACACTGGGATAGTTTGTTGGTAAGGTAAAGGTCAGCTTCATTACTCCATACTCCTCACATTCTATGTTAATCTCAAATGAATTCTCATTTCTGGTTAGTACCCCATCTAAAAAAAACATCATTGAGTATGAATTAATAATTTGGATACATTCAATACTTAACATAGGCTATAAAATAGTCGATCATCACACTGTATTGTAATGATTATCCTATTTGCTCTATTAGTAGCGTATGCACTTATATAAATTACGAAGAAGTTACTATGGTCAAAATAATCGATGGAAAAGCCAAAAAATTATGAATTATTATGCAAAGTAGGTGATTAAAATGCACAGATTTAAACCAAAACTAAATAGGTTTGTGCATTGTCTTAGAGCATCAATGTACAAAGTTTCAATGAAATGTGATGATTAGACTAATCATTATGCAAATTAGGTGATTAATAGGCACAGATTTTTATTCAAAATTGATTAGGTCTGTGCATAGCCCTAAAGCATCTATCTATCAAGTTTTATTGAAAAGAAATTAGTACAAATGTACTTGAAACATATCAGCAGAAAAACAATGTACTAATTATGCAAATTAGGTAATTAATATGCACATAATTAAACCTAAACTGAACAGGTCTATGAATAGTGTTACTGTACTGTAATGTGAAGATTATTACTTGAGATATCAGTGGAAAAGCCAAAAATTGACTCATTATGCAAAGTAGGTAATTAATATGCATGGCTCCATCTACAAAATATTTCTATACAGTCTTCTTCTTACATGAGATCTTGATCAAAATTGACAAACCTTTTTATCAACAACTAAAAACCAATGTCAGATACTGTCTGTATGGTTCAGAATTATATTGAAATTTAAGGAATATCCTGGCAGGAAAAATATCTGGTGGTCAAAGAGGTTAATGGGTGTTTCTACATATCACATTTTTATTTTTGTGATATATAGTCACCTTGAAAACAGAAAACACTACATTTGACACGTCGATGAAAAACCTGTCAACAAACAAGGAGCTCTGCTATTGGTCAGACTGTTAGCTGCCAGTGTTAGGTAGCCAATCAGGTATAATCTTGTAAGTAGCATACTTTGACTCTATGGAAATGCTTGCTACTTTTCAACTATGGGCAAACAAATTCTGACCTTGATATCTTGCAAACACCATAAACTGTTGCATATATTTCACATTATAAAGGTTGTTGATTTTTTTTCTTTTTTCAAATATTTTATTTCATTTTAAAAAGAAAAAAAAATCATTGTTAATGATAAGTCCCCGTCCAATTTTGAGTATAACTGTTAGCATTAGCGCCAAATAAATATTTACAGTCATGTAACAGACATGATACAAAGAGGAACCAATTTATTCTGCCCATGACATATTCATAATGCATTTCTAGCATGAAAATGATTATAGAAATAGAATTATTGACGGAAGACAGACGGACGGATGATGGACAGCGATGATGACAGGCTAATGGCATATATCAACAACCCAACAGTAGCTTATCTACACCTATGCCTTCAAACAAAATATAGAAAATAATGAATCTTTAATGTACTTGATGAGCCAGAAGTAGCTGTGGAAGTGAAATGCCAGGATAGGAGTGATTAAAAGTGGGCTTTTTTGAAAACACAGTTTAAGAGATAACACTTACCTAGAAAACAAATTCTGACATTTACACGTAGAACAACATGTTATCATGGCCGCAAGCTTAGCTATGCAGCAATACACTGAACATCATATCTCATCTATAATTACGTGTACGTGTCCATTATCAAGGTGGATTATCTGTAGGTCATGTGACATTAGCGTTTGCCCTTTCTATCACTATAGATTATAGCTAAATAATTAAGATGTTTACTTTGTTTGATCTGTACGTTGTTTTAAGCTAAACAGACATGGACATCAGAAATGTTTAAGAAAAAATTAAAATATTAAAAAAAATTATAAATTATAAATTAATATACTGCTTTAAGCCAGTCTAATTGTTTATTTGATAGTTACTGCAAATTCCTTACGTACTAATGTTATTAGATATCTGTCTAACTTAGACAGAGTAGGATTATTTCGCCCGGAATCATGTACAACCTAGACTTTTGTTATTATTGGTCAAACCCTTGGTTGCTAGGCAACACTGGACAATCTCACTACCTCAGATGAAGATAACAAGCAGCCTGTTGGCTTATATAGCTCTTCTGTTGAAAACAGCATGTTTTACCAAAGATTACACAAATACTCAATAAAATTAGAAAATTAAACTTATTGTCACAAAAAAATTAAATCTGTCAGAGATCCCCCAAATATAAAATTTTGAAATCATAAAATATTGAAGCATTTGGCGAACTATTTTAAAGAAGATATTGAAAATAGCACTGTTTACCAAAAATATTTATCAAAATTAGAGATTTGAAGGTGTAGTCATGAAATGAACAAATCTCAGAGAGGTCTACCAAAATTAAGGTACATAATACCAAGTATCAAAGCAAGAAGAAGTCAAAAATGTAAAGTTGATGAACGATAATAGGAACAGCTCTGCTCTGTTGACTCAGTCAACAGTAGAACTAAAAAGACAGATTGCATTGTAGGTCTGCCATGGTTTTCAACAACATTAGAATTAAAAGAAATCTGGGAATCGTCACATTTTCAAATAATTTATGATTTTACCATTTGCCTCATTATAAATATAACATGTATGCTTCAAAGGCTGTAACTAACATAACACTTGGTTGATTTTGAAAAAATTTCAATATTATAAAGATTTTCATAAATTTCAGAAGCAATAATCTGGTAATAGACGTGGCCAATATGTCTTTCTATTGTTATCGGAGGTATACTGCACTGGGCAGACTGGTGATGCAAGGTGCCTTAGGCAAAAAGCGAATATTTATTTGAGTAATTGGAGTGACTAATAAAAAATTAGGCTACCGTAGTCATCACTAGCCATTATTTGTATACAGTTAGAAATCTCTACTTTTGCATAGGGTACCCTAACCCTAACCCTAACCCTGCCTAAATTCACTACGTTCAATGACCCACCATAGACTCCGGTCAGTCAAAATGACTATTTTGAACTGTAGGCAGAGTTAGACGCCGGTTTTCCGAGCAAACAGAAAATGATGAAAGTCTTTTCTCAGTCCGGGATGATACACTCTACAACAACCACTCATCACCTAGTTAAGACCCAAATATCATTTTTGAATAAAAAATGACAAAAAATATTCGCTAAAAATAGAAAATTGAAGATATGGACATAGAATGAACAAAACTGATAGAGGTCCACCCAAGGTATATACCACGCGGTGGTTTTTGAGAAGAAGTCGTGCACAGACAGACAGACAGACAGACAGACAGACAGACAGATAGACAGACGACAGACGCAGGACAGAAACCCATCCCATAGGCTCAGTGGACCTATGGTCCGTTGAGCCAATAAAAACCAAAACCAAAAGAATAAGCTGTGTACATATAGACAGCTAAAGAAAAATTGTCAATATGAAAATTATCTAACAACAGCAGCAAATGCAAAACATAGAGCAGTAATTAACAAAATTGAGAATTAGTGCCCATAATTTAGAAATAGAGAGGTTGATACAAAAAAAATCCTTGCAGTGGTAGAAAGTGCACTGCTTGCGACCAAAATGAGATTGAAGACGAAAAGCATTTTATACTTGAATGCAAGCTGTATGAAAATGAGAGAACTGAAATGTTGAAGGAAGTAAATTTAATACATTGCAACAACGCAAATACCAATAAATTTAACAGCCAAAAAATAACAAAACTAGCAAGCTACATTTGTACATCTACAACATACGCTCAGACAACTGAGTGATCAACGATATCATTTTGAGACGCGATGCTGACATCAAGTGTGTGTTGATCGAAGTTTGACCCCCAAGCCACATGCTAAACTGGTGCGTTACCTTCGCAACCTTTTTCTTTCGTGCTCCTCGCGTCGATCTAGTAAAATTCTTAAACCCAACAGTACTGTAATTACACAACTTATATGCAACTTTGTACTGGATTTGAAAACTTATTTCAACATCGTTTACTTAGTGTGCTGCTTTTCTAATTACGCAAATTTGTTTACATTATACGGTAGTACCAGCTCTGAATATTTCAACATTGTAATGTATTGCTTTTATAATAAATACGCAAACTCAAGTTATTTTTACCATTGTTTAATAGGGAACTGACCCGGGGTATTGGGTCTGTGAATATTTCAATATTACCGACTTGATAATGCGTTGTATTCGTAATAATTATGCAAACATAGAAATGGGCGCATTTAAATCACTGAAAAAGATATTTGTCAGGTTTCTACCGAAAATCGGGAAAATATTTTAAATACTTGTGATTCAATGTTCCAATAATGAATTATTTTATTCAAGATGAAGTAAATATATAATATAAACCATACAATACAATAACATACCATACTATGCCTAACGATAAATTTTACTATACCTAATATACTCTGGGCAATTTTGGTGCTTCCACTTTGCTACTTCCTCAGTTTTTCATCTTTATTAAAACTCGTCAGATGTGTAGTAAAAAGTCCAAGGTGTTATACAAAGACCGTGCTTTTGAAAATTTAGGTCCTAAACTTTTTAATGAATTACCTCTGTCTGTTCGTTCTAGTCCTTCAGTAGACATTTTTAAATCCAGACTGAAAACGCACTTATTTAAATGTGCTTTTAATATTTGACTGATTGTTTATTGTATCAGCGCCTTTGATCTTCATATGTTGGAATTGTTGCGCTTAATTAAATAGAGTTATTATTATTATTATTATTATTATTATTATTATTTATTATTATTATTATTTATTGTAATTTTCTTTTTCTGAGTCAATATCCAAATAAGGATATGATTATCCAATAAAGATTATTATTATTCCATATTTGGAATTTGCATTTCCTAATATGGTAAGATGCAAATACCCAGTGCAATAATGCAAAATTGCGGCATGCTGTAACTTATGGCGTTACAGTGACAGATGTATGATAATTAAAGTTATCACAAAGCACTCAAATAGTACAGGGGTTGTATCTTCCTGTGCTATGTGTCAGTCAGTATGATCACCATATACTTTCTTCATTTAT